GGTCATATTCTACACGTCACATAGAACACGCATGTGGGGGGGTCACATTTCATTGATTCATTGAATTTTATTTTTCTTCAGATTCTTCCAGAAAAAATAAACATTTTAGTTTTCCTGAAGAGAAACCGAGGTGAGCCGTCTGTGTGCTGATATCGGGGTACACGCCCCCTTGGATGTGTGCTGATATCGGGGTACACGCCCCTTTGTGTGTGTGCTGATATCGGGGTACACGCCCCTTTGGGTGTGTGCTGATATCGGGGTACACGCCCCTTTGGGTGTGTGCTGATATCGGGGTACACGCCCCTTTGGGTGTGTGCTGATATCATTGTGGCATGTACCCGCGCAGAGTGAACGCTCACATTCATTGTGGCATGTACCCGCGCAGAGTGAACGCTCACACGTTGGCAGGGTTTATGAATGGACCCCTCAGTATAATGGCGGCTCCGCTCTTTAACTTCTCTTCTTTCTGGGTTTTTTTAGGTCCTCTGTGAAAATTTCGGATTCCAGCGATGAAGACTTTGAGAATTGTATGTGCCGTATTTCCCCGTCATTGTACACGGATGTTTGGTCACATGACACGGATATCTCCCGGCATAGTGGAGGAACCGTGCTCCTAGTCTGGGGACACGTGTGGGGTTATTACAGTTCATGTAGATATGACACGGATGTTTGGTCACATGACACGGGCATCTCCTAGTCTGAGGGCACGTGGGGTTATTACAGTTCATGTAGATATGACACGGATGTTTAGTCGCATGACACGGACATCTCCTAGCCTGGGGACACATGGTGTTATTACAGTTCATGTAGCTATGACACGGATGTTTGGTCACATGACACAGACATCTCCCGGCATAGTGGAGGAACCGTGCTCCTAGTCTGGGGACACGTGGTGTTATTAGAGTTCATGTAGATATGACACGGATGTTTGGTCACATGACACGGACATCTCCTAGTCTGAGGACACGTGGGGTTATTACAGTTCATGTAGATATGACACGGACGTTTGGTCACATAACACGGACATCTCCTAGTCTGGGGACACGTGTGGGGTTATTACAGTTCATGTAGATATGACACGGATGTTTGGTCACATGACACGGACATCTCCTAGTCTGGGGACACGTGGGGTTATTACAGTTCATGTAGATATGACACGGATGTTTGGTCACATGACACGGACATCTCCTAGTCTGAGGACACATGTGGTTATTACAGTTCATGTAGATATGACACGGATGTTTGGTCACATGACACGGACATCTCCTAGTCTGAGGACACATGGGGTTATTACAGTTCATGTAGATATGACACGGATGTTTGGTCACATGACACGGACATCTCCTAGTCTGAGGACACGTGGGGTTATTACAGTTCATGTAGATATGACACGGATGTTTGGTCACATGACACGGGCATCTCCTAGTCTGGGGACACGTGTGGGGTTATTACAGTTCATGTAGATATGACACGGATGTTTGGTCACATGACACGGGCATCTCCTAGTCTGGGGACACGTGGGGTTATTACAGTTCATGTAGATATGACACGGATGTTTGGTCACATGACACGGGCATCTCCTAGTCTGAGGACACGTGGGGTTATTACAGTTCATGTAGATATGACACGGATGTTTGGTCACATGACACGGACATCTCCTAGTCTGGGGACACGTGTGGGGTTATTACAGTTCATGTAGATATGACACGGATGTTTGGTCACATGACACGGGCATCTCCTAGTCTGGGGACACGTGTGGGGTTATTACAGTTCATGTAGATATGACACGGATGTTTGGTCACATGACACGGACATCTCCTAGTCTGAGGACACGTGGGGTTATTACAGTTCATGTAGATATGACACGGATGTTTGGTCACATGACACGGACATCTCCTAGTCTGGGGACACGTGTGGGGTTATTACAGTTCATGTAGATATGACACGGATGTTTGGTCACATGACACGGGCATCTCCTAGTCTGGGGACACGTGTGGGGTTATTACAGTTCATGTAGATATGACACGGATGTTTGGTCACATGACACGGACATCTCCTAGTCTGAGGACACGTGGGGTTATTACAGTTCATGTAGATATGACACGGACGTTTGGTCACATAACACGGACATCTCCTAGTCTGGGGACACGTGTGGGGTTATTACAGTTCATGTAGATATGACACGGATGTTTGGTCACATGACACGGGCATCTCCTAGTCTGGGGACACGTGGGGTTATTACAGTTCATGTAGATATGACACGGATGTTTGGTCACATGACACGGACATCTCCTAGTCTGAGGACACGTGGGGTTATTACAGTTCATGTAGATATGACACGGATGTTTGGTCACATGACACGGACATCTCCTAGTCTGAGGACACGTGGGGTTATTACAGTTCATGTAGATATGACACGGATGTTTGGTCACATGACACGGGCATCTCCTAGTCTGAGGACACGTGGTGTTATTACAGTTCATGTAGATATGACACGGATGTTTGGTCACATGACACGGACATCTCCTAGTCTGAGGACACATGGGGTTATTACAGTTCATGTAGATATGACACGGATGTTTGGTCACATAACACGGACATCTCCTAGTCTGAGGACACGTGGGGTTATTACTGTTCATGTAGATATGACACGGATGTTCGGTCACATGACACGGGCATCTCCTAGTCTGGGGACACGTGTGGGGTTATTACAGTTCATGTAGATATGACACGGATGTTCGGTCACATAAAACGGACATCTCCTAGTCTGGGGACACGTGGGGGGTTATTACAGTTCATGTAGATATGACACGGATGTTTGGTCACATGACACGGGCATCTCCTAGTCTGAGGACACGTGGGGTTATTACAGTTCATGTAGATATGACACGGATGTTTGGTCACATGACACGGACATCTCCTAGCCTGAGGACACGTGTGGGGTTATTACAGTTCATGTAGATATGACACGGATGTTCGGTCACATGACACGGGCATCTCCTAGTCTGGGGACACGTGTGGGGTTATTACAGTTCATGTAGATATGACACGGATGTTCGGTCACATAACACGGACATCTCCTAGTCTGGGGACACGTGTGGGGTTATTACAGTTCATGTAGATATGACACGGATGTTCGGTCACATGACACGGGCATCTCCTAGTCTGGGGACACGTGTGGGGTTATTACAGTTCATGTAGATATGACACGGATGTTCGGTCACATGACACGGGCATCTCCTAGTCTGGGGACACGTGTGGGGTTATTACAGTTCATGTAGATATGACACGGATGTTCGGTCACATGACACGGGCATCTCCTAGTCTGGGGACACGTGTGGGGTTATTACAGTTCATGTAGATATGACACGGATGTTTGGTCACATGACACGGGCATCTCCTAGTCTGGGGACACGTGGTGTTATTAGAGTTCATGTAGATATGACACGGATGTTTGGTCACATGACACGGACATCTCCTAGTCTGAGGACACATGGGGTTATTACAGTTCATGTAGATATGGCACGGATGTTTGGTCACATAACACGGACATCTCCTAGTCTGAGGACACGTGGGGTTATTACTGTTCATGTAGATATGACACGGATGTTCGGTCACATGACACGGGCATCTCCTAGTCTGGGGACACGTGTGGGGTTATTACAGTTCATGTAGATATGACACGGATGTTCGGTCACATAACACGGATATCTCCTAGTCTGGGGACACGTGTGGGGTTATTACAGTTCATGTAGATATGACACGGATGTTCGGTCACATGACACGGGCATCTCCTAGCCTGGGGACACGTGTGGGGTTATTACAGTTCATGTAGATATGACACGGATGTTCGGTCACATGACATGGACATCCCTTAGACTAGCGGATGTGTCAGCACTTCCCCTGGTCTGTGATAGTCCGGAATTCTCGCCTGCAGGGTACACGGGGTTTGGTGTCGGGACTTTCGCATATTTTACTTGCTTGCTGATCATGTCCCATACACGTAGGTCATAGGAGAAGTCCAGGGGGACTGAGGCAGACGACCAGATCAGGGACGTGGAATCCTCCTCAGTGATTGGCCCCCCAAATAACCAGCTTTTCTGTCTGATGTTTTTCTAGTTTTAATCCAACTGAAGACGCCGAAACAACCGAAGAGCAAAACTCAGGACAAGCAAAGCGGAAGGTGAGTGAGGAGGATGTGCGGGGGAGGGGCCAGGAAGAGCGAAGATTCCATGACATTCAAGAGACCTCCTCCACCTATCAGACTGGTCCTGAGACCTCCTCCTCTCAGACTATTCCTCAGACCGCCTCCTCCTCTCAGACTGGTCCTCAGACCGCCTCCTCCTCTCAGACTGGTCCTCAGACCGC